ATGTCCACTGCATCCTCAAATGCCAAGGGTTGTATACGAAACACTTCTGTTCTGGCAACGCCAGTTCAAAAATCCTCCATAAAAATTGTTACCAAACCCGTATCAGGTAAAGGGTCAAGATGCATAGCAGCAATAAGAGTTCTCAGCTCCTGTACATAATCGACAAAGTCCCCTTTACCCTGGCGGTTGACGGGAAGCGTGATCGCACGCGATATGTCTGATTGGGCGGAGCAAATGCCCGAGGTAGCTACTGTTTAACATGTCCCAGATGAAAAATCCTCTTTTATCGTGGTGCCATTAGTGAACGCCCACTCCCTGGCTCGGCCATCTAATTTTGACAGAGCCAGAACCACCTTCTGCTCCTCTGACCGCAGCAAGGCCAAACTGATGGCAACCTCCATCTCGCGAACCCACAAAAAAAGATTTTCTCCCTCTTTCCCTCGAAAGTCTTGACATTTAAGACTAGAGGACATGTCCTTGACTCAATTTCAGATATTGAAACATACCGAGTAGGCATGGCAGATGCCAAATGGTCACGGACCTGTCCGATCAACGCAGACCCAGAGTTTGAGAAGGACTCAAGACGTGCACGAAGTGCGTCCGGGCCTTGCGACACTATAAAAGCCACTTTTTAGTGCCTAATCAATGCCGTGAGCTTCTCAAGCGTGATCTTTTGGGCCTCAGAGAGGTTCATGACCGTCTCCATCCTCGCAGAGGATCCAGTCCGTGAAGACTTAGGTGTAGATTGACTACAAGTGCTACCAAGTGTAGCGGAGCTACTTAGCGCTCCTTGACAGAGAAAGCCATAGACTCAAAAAAGCCTCTTAGTCACAACAAACTAACAACGACGTGTATTCGTTCAAGCGTAGCAAGCTTAACAATCCCGGTTCCAAAGGGATTACGATTCACAGAATCACACACTAACTAGTCACTACTAGTTAAACAAGAGTGAACGCCTTCACAAGGCTAACACTCTTACAACACGCTATGCCTTGACTAAGCACTAGCGCCCAACGATTCAAAAGGGGAACTGAACTTTATTTATTCTTCAACTACGGTAACAAAACCCAAAAAAACTTACCTGACTGACTTCTACATTAAGAACCTATGACAGAAGTCTAATCCCTTATCCTTCCCGATAAGGTGCGGTATTATCGTAAGTACGTGATACCAAAACTGTACCACTCAGATCCACTGATCTTTACTTGGTGTGGACCCACGACATAACCAGTTCAAATAACCGCGTGTAACCCCGTTACATCTTCCCCGCTTTATCCGCTCTTCATTGACCTCCGCTTCATACCCGATCTATCGAAAAGAGGCGTAAGTAAGGACCGTGTTAGTTGGCGCGTAGTGGGCCTTTTCAATTGTTAAGTCATTTATAAGTACAAAATGCAGACGTCCGTCGCGATACGCGACAAGACGATCATTCGAATTTTATAAAGCCAAACAGATGACCTCACCGCGAGGTTCCATCGCTAAAAATCACAGATGTGGATTTTAGTGGGAGGAATGGACAGCCGTAGCATAAAGGCGCCTCATTTTTTAGGCACCTTCTTATATTCGTTATAAGAAACCACCTTTGGGAACCAGTTAGTAGTGTACTTACGCTACTACGACTCAATATCGTGCCATCTTTCCTACAAGAGCTTAAACTTTTAGATCATGTAAGCGTTGAACCGCTCGCCGTCGAGCAGCAACGATCGCGTAGCCCTTAAACCACGCTGAGGGGGTAGTGTCGCTTAGAGTTGATTGAAATCTTCACTGGTATGGTCGCCATCCCCTAAAGGTATCCCAGCGCCTTAACGGTACTGATAACCGCATACGCGAACCCCTGAGATGGCAGGCCGGGATGATTTGGGGTGATAACTGCTCACGCTACTTTTCTCTGTGACACCCCTGCGTTTTATAACCCTGGAATATGTACCCTAAGACTGCCGGAGATCCAGGATACCATCACGATCGTCGGAATGAGTCAGCCTTTCGACCGTCCAATATTGCCATTACTCCATCACCTTATCCACGATGTGATAGCCTCTTTGCAGCATCTGAGTAATCGCCGGACTAATATGAAGCAGGTCTGTCACGATTAAACGGACCTGGCCATCCGCAACAATATCGGCCACCGTTTTCACGCGAAAATCGAGAAGTGAGGAATAACGAGATGACACTGAGCACCGAAGAATCAACTGTATATTGTAGTAAAAATGTAGGTAATGCTGCCGGCGGTGAGTCTAGTAGACAAGTCGATGATATCACACACACACACACCTATCTAGGCCGATTATCAGGACCGACAATCCCTGATAATTACGTCTTTTTCCCCTATATTTTCTGATCAAGTACATCATCATGCGGTAAAAAATGGCCTTATCACTGCTGTCAGCCGTTAAGACCTCAGCGTCGCCTGGACGATGCAGCTTGCAGTGAAAATAGGCTGAATTGTGGTGGTCGCTGAAAGGGATTTTAGAAGGGAATTTATACGATGATACGATTTTGACAGTCAAAGTCAGCTTAACGCATTTCAATTAAAGTCAAGATGAGCTGCTAACCTGTACCAATTCCCTTATTATTCTAATATATTAAAATGGCCGCTATAGCAGCATTGCCATTGAAGGTGAAGCTTAAGTGGCTACCCGATCTTGCAAATTTAGGATTCAGGAAATTAGCAGCCATAAAAATCATAGTGCTGCCCACGAGTTATAGTATACTAATGTAAGTGTAAATAGTCACAGCCCGCAATTAGAATATTAGCAATTACACAGAGTTAGCTCCTGGAAAATGGATAAGTTAGCGTCAAGATGAACAGCGATGCATTTGAAGATGAGAAGACCGCCGACTGGGCACCCTGGCCAGAAAAGAAGACCTGGTCACCGAGGAGCGTTTGCTGCCAACTGCTTAAATTCCGCCCACACCTAGTAACTATGCAAGCTAGTGAGAGCTCGGCGCAATATTACACCTAACGTCACATTTACTGGTCCACTTTTCTCTCTTTCAATGAGGAACAAACACGTAAGAACACCCTACTTTTATTTAACTCTGTCGCAGAGCCAATTTTTTGACTGACCTAGTGCTATGTTCACCTCCCTGCACACAGTGCAACCACGCTTTCATTATGCATCTAAAAATGTAAATTAGAAATTGAGACGAGTTGTAAAGTGGTTGGAGGCAAAAGCCGAAAAAGTAAATTTAAGTTCCTTAGCTCACTGCCCTTAGCTATCTTTAAGCCTTTATGTAACGCTGTCTTATGCTATCCTCTGAAACTACCATGAAACGCCTTGACGATTTATATCATAAATCATCACCCTAACTACGTGAAACGTACCTGTTTAGCGATGTAATATCAACACTCCCACGCACCGATACTTCTTAGTGACCTTGCACTGACAACGTGCGCATCGAGCAGGAACTTGGACGTCTTGGATCCCAGAGCCTTGGTCAGTATGTTGTCCAAGTGATGTTTGGTGTCTACATACGCTAGCGCAACCGTTTTCGGCTTCGATCTTCTTTCTGATGAAGTGATAACGGATGTCCACATGCTTGTTCCAATCATAATAATCAGCATTCTGAGCTAAAGCGATTACGCTTTGATTACCCTCTCAGATCCTAGTAGCGTTCCTTTGTACCATTCCCATTTCCGTCAGCATTGCACGCGTCCACAGCACTTCCTGAACACACATGCTTTAAGCCATATACTCAGCTTCCGCTGAGCTGAGGGCAACCAATCGTTAAAACCAAGACTTGAACTCCACTGTAGCGTTCTCAATTATGATCAAAATACCCCAGACATATCGCCAGTCATCGGGATCAGATTACCTGTCCGCATCCGAGTAGGCTTCAGCTGCAATGCTGTTGGTACCACCTTCGTAGATGACCACCGTGCTGGCAGGTCGTCTTTAAGTAGCGTAGAACACGTATAGCAGCACCCCAATGCTGCTACCCGAAATTACCCAGAAAACGAGAAAGTTGCGATAACACGAATGCAATTTCCGGGCTAGTACACGTCGTGATGTTCGGCAGGCATCTAAATAAGAAACGTTTACGGTATTGAATGCATTTTACTTCGTTCTGCATCCAGTTCTGGCGATTGCGACTTTGACAACTTTTAGACGGTCGCGCATGGGCTGTCCACCGTCTTGGAGTTACCCTGCCGAAATTGGTTCGAAGCATCATCATTGTATCGCGTTTGCTTGATCATAAGTGTTCCAGCAGTCATGTCATGGTCAATCTCCATTCCCAGATTAAACTTCACCAGTCCAATCTCCTTTATCTTAATAGGATATTTTAGTGCGTCCTTCACGTCACTAATTTTATCACTAGTCTTTGCCGCAATGATCATATCACCGACGTAATGGCAGACCTTAATAAAACTGTTCTTGGAGCGCTTGACATAGATGCATTGGTCCGCACCACAGCTTTTTTGAAACCGTAGTGGAGAAATACACGATGAATGGTCTTGTTCCAGGCACTTGCAGCTTGCTTCAATCCATAAATGGCCTTGTTTATAGCTGGCACACATTGGCCTAGGTGTTTTAAACGCCTAGAGGTACCTCCATGAAAACACGGTCCTCCAACTTCCTGTTGAGAAACACAGTATCAGTGTTTTACTGTTCCATCTAGTACGCATAAGCTGCGCAGACGGAGAGCGCAACCCAAATCGAGTTCAAGTTCGCCACTGGGGATTACACTTCAAAGAAGTCCACTTCGCAATTCAGCTAAAAACTTTCGCCACCAGTTGCTCTTTGAAGCGCACCACGCGACCGTTCTGGCCACGCTTCTTGTAGAAAATCCACCTGCACCCGATGGTACGGATTGCCTTTTCTCTTGCAACCAATGTCCAGGTGTCGTGCCTTATATGTGAGAAAGGTTCAGCATCCATGGCTATATGCCACTGCGTAGCATCTTAACTGGAAATTGCCTGAGCGAACGTTGTAGGAAGGATTACTGCGTCAATGCTTGCCGCTACGCAAGAACGGCTTCAGCAATAAGACCATTTAATTTTATCCCGGCACGCTTTGAAGAGTACAGTACATCACTTCCTTCTGATTCCGTTCTTCCTCGGCGTCAGTTCCATCTTCAAGAAGGAAAACGGATTCGCGAGAACGTCTGGAACGGTTTGCAGGGGTATCAAACACCACGTGTTCTTTCGCGAAGCTAGTAGGTGGTTCACGGTACGATTCCAGCTCAAATCCAGTCGGAGCCGATTGTCCTTGCGGCATCAGCAGCGAAGGTATAGCATCCTGTTCCGGTTGCATGCTCTCCATCTCTATGTACCGTGCGTCAATTTCAACGCCTTGCATTGGCTTCGCTTCGACGGGTTGACGTTCCAATGGTGCGAGCGTGACTGCTTCATCAACGTCCGTGGTAACTTGGGTGACTGGTTCATTCTGAGGCGGTAGTGTATCGTAAATACCACCCACCTCACGCTTGTCCAGCTTCGCGGAGAGAAACAATTTGATCTTTGAAGTGTACAATTCATAGCCACGGTAACGCTTGACAGTTTCTGGTTATCCAAGCAGCAGACACCTAAAGCTCTTAGGTTCAAGCTTTGTCCTCTTTGCCTTGTCTATATGGGCGTAGCCGCGAGAACCAAATACGCGTAAGTTGTATGATGTGGGCTTTACTTCAAAACCCAGCTCAAACGGTGTCACAGTTGTGTTTTGCGTGTTCGTGGAACGGTTGTTCAGATATACCGCAGTATCGACTGCTTCAGCCCACCACTCCATTGAAACGCCCTTGTTATGTAGCATAGTTCGAGATTTCTCCATGATGGTACGGGTTCATCCGTTCTACCACTTCATTCTGCTGAGGGATTTACATGCTAGTCCGCTGATGCACAATAACATTTAGCATACATGTCTTCGTCACCTCTTGGTTCACAAAACTCCGTTCTAATATCCGATCGTAAACACTTAATGCGTTCTCCCCATCGTTTATTATAGAACATCTTGAACGTTTTTAGCTTGATGGCCACCTTGCTCTTCTTCTTTAAAAAATAGGCCACAACTTAGCGCGAGCAGTCTCCCACGAACGTCGCGCGAGCAGTCAGGACATACTTTGAACCGCCTTTGGATGGATTCTTCTTCATGGACTCCATCACATCTGTGTGGAAGAGCTTAAGAGCGCGTGACGTTATCGAGTGGGAACAATGCTGAAATGCAGCCACGGTCTGCTTTCCTTTCATGCATATTCCACATAAAGACTAAGTTGGATGACCAATGGCCGGAATACTGTTCTTGGCATGACGCGTCTTAGTCAGAGCGTCTTGGCAGGTATGCCCCATGCGAGCGTTTTAAAGCTCCCAAAATTACTGCCAGTCTCAGAGTACTGAACAAATCGAGCTTCTTCTTGTTCACAGTCTATCTTGTACGCCTAACCCACCATCTTTTCTTTTGCAGTTTCGCTAGCCTTGCCCCAAATAACACATGAGGAACGCTAAAACTCCACGCTCAGGCCACGATCCGCGAGCTTTTCGACTGAAAAAAAACGCCGATCGAGGCCTGTGATATGAAGAACGTCAACGTTTTTAATTCGTTTATCGTCAAGTCCAATCGAGCGTACCGTACCACGGCCAGCGACCTGCAGCTTCCTTCCGTCGGCGACTGTTATTTCAATGCCACCGTTCATGTTCTCATACTCGAAAAGATCAGAACGTTTTGGGGTTGTGTGGGCGGTCGTTCCGCTGTTGATCAACCATCCAGTTACTCATTTTGTGCTTACAGCCAATACTTCATCACCATCTGTTGTCCGTTCTTGGCAGTCTCGCTTCATGTGCCTAACTTTGTGGCACTTAAAACACTTGCCTCATAAACCATCAGAGTTCGTCTTCTGAATGCGTACTTGCGACCGTTCCCATAATTACTTTTGAACTTTTGAGTGTTGACCTTGAACGATCTTTCTGGACTCGTATCCTTTCTCTCCAATCGTTCACACTCCTTCAACAGCTTCTCTTTCACCTCGATGAGCGTGATGTCCTTGACCATCTCAATGATAGATAATATCAGCTTGTGCTCGCCTGGAAGGCTGCTCAGTAGCACTACCAGCTGCCGTGCCTCGTCTGTAGACTCTCCAGGCGTCTGAAGACCGACAACTAGCTAGTCGAAGGCGTTTAAATGCTTTGCCATGGCCGCTTCAGCATCCATCTTATCTTCGTGGAGGCGCCGTGTCATCGTGACCCGATTGTGTGGTGTAGATCTATTGTATAGCTCCCCAAGCGTTGCCCACGCATGATTCGCATGCGTAGATGAGAGGATCTTTGTCCAGTGTTGTAGCTCCACACCCTGCGCGATGATGCCGAGAGCCTTCGCGTCGTTCACTAGCCAAGCTTTGATCATCTCACTCTCCTCCTTGACCACCTCCACATGCACCAGCAGCCCTTTCCTGGCGAGCGTCATCCTCATATTAAACTCCCAGTGGAAATAATTTCCGCTTCCCAGGAGGAATTCGGCGCGCTTGACATTCATCGTGTGCGTTTCGTGCGAGGCGAGGGCATTCTTGGCCTTAATGCAGCGGGACGAGCTGTGACCTGTTGAGTAGTTGAAGGCAAAAGCCGAAGTAAATAGTAAAGGTCCTTAGTTCACTACCATGAGCTATCTCTAAGCCTTTATGTAACGCTGTTCCATGGTATTCCGCTGAAACTACCATGAAACTTCCTGATGATTTATCTTATAAATCATCATCCTAACAACATGAAACGTACCTGTCAGCGGTGTAATATAACTACGAGCTTTGTATTGCAAACGCAAAGCCACCCATAAATTAATCGGCGTGAGCAGCTTCCTTTGCGAGCTCTAACGTGTCGTAGGTTTCAGCTCGAAGAAAATTCTATGGACACTAAAAAAAGATTTTTTTGTGTTCGGCTAAGGGGTGGGTTTTCAAGGCCGGGTGTGTGAAGGCAAGAATGTGCAGAAATTGCAAATTGACTGCGGTAGAGTCATATTCATTCATAAAGTGTTGTATGATACTATGTGTTCGATGGCCGTTTATGCACTTGTAGGCTAGGCACTAATATACCGGCTTTCTACTTATTCTGTTACAATTCACTATCTTTTTGTGACTACTAACTGATTCGTGGCATCCACTTGTATCTTTTGCGAAATCCACTGATTTGCGGCTATCCACTAGCTTTTAGGCAAGATTTTATTCTTTTAGGATCCACCGTATTGGATCTCCAGATTTCATCAAATGCTTCGGACAGGTCCCCATACCTTACTGCAAAAGCGACACAAAGTAATGTCGTGAAGCATTACAGCCACAAGGTCTCCTCTTCAGGAGTAGCAGTCGTCATGGGACCGTATGAAGTTATAACACACTTATCGTACGAAGCTATCGAGGACAGGCTAAGCATTTTGTTCAACGTCATATGGACTGACAGAAAGCAACCAAATGCTGCACACGTTTAAATGGTTACTGGGCTTCTTAACAAGGAGCATTTTTTACGAGTACAGGATGCATGTCCTTTACATAATCATTTTTTATTACTAGCGCTTGACATTACTACATCGTGCCTATGACCTTGCCCCACACCATCAGTGTCTTGCATGACTTTGCTTAACGTGATCGTTTTTATTTTGCAGGATTGAGCACAGCGGCAGGAAAGAAGCTACGCGGCTGCATCATGTGCTGGCCAACTGGCACGTCTTAGTGGAAAGTCGATCTCCCTACCTTTCTGGCATTTCCTCGGTGTGTGTAAATAAATTGCTCACGGATTATAATCAAATTAGATATCGGGCGATTAGACATCTATTAGTTTCGTGCAGTCCACCTTGCTACTCTGGAAGATCCTAAACAAACAAGCAACTCACTTTATAATTAAGTAGATAGCCGCAGATTAGTGGATATCCTACAAGATTGTGAACCGCCTCTAAAAACGTATTTTGTTGTTTAAACTCTCTTTATACGTTCAGTAAAGCAGCCAACTCGCGATTTCTTTGCATTCTTGCCTCCACGGACCCTTCCTTATATACCCATATCTTAGACATCATAATGATTGACACTAGCTGATCTCCTTCCAGCAATAACCTTTGACAGTATAGAGCTGAAATAGGAAGCTGCTTACGCGAGTGCATTCAAAAATAAAATTGCGATTGCTATACGAGGTCGGTTAAATGTTGTTATCTCCCATGTTTAAGGAAAGTGTGGATGTGATGTGCACTGTGAGGGCACGATCGAATCCGTCACCTCTAGAACCAGATCTCAGACAGAGCTAACAAATGAGTGGGATGTGCTTACGTGCATGACCTACTTGTAAAGAAAGACCGGTAAACCATGACGCATAAGATCAGTTGTTCTAACGCGCCGTACTCTCACCGTCTTGCATAGTTCTACTAAACAGGTATGGGTGGAATCCCAATCGGCAGCAGCCACTCCTTGAGCGACCACATCTTCTAACCTTGCTGGGGCTCGCAGGCTGCAAGGTTCTCATCTACGGTTGTATCGTCGTTCGTATTACCGCTACCTCTGCAGTTATGCAAAAGCTAATGCTAGCGTTAATGCTAACATTCCTGTCGGACTGCAATCCTGCACGCTCATACTATTATGTTTCATTCGGCTGCTTGTTCAAATTTCTATGCTAAGTCAGATTCTAAAGCTTTTGAACTCTTAATTGATTTAAGGGAAACGTTATTCAGCAATCGGCCACCACCCACCAATAGTTTCCGATAGGTAATATTAATTTTAAAAACTTTGCTTTCTTGGATAGAAGTTGGGCCGGGTGTTTTTGAGCTTAAATCATTTTAATTATCACACCTATGTCCGCTTCTTGTGTGCCGTCGTCCGAAATTAATACCAGGTTTGTTTATTCAATGTTGAATACTATGGAAAGTCTTGTGCCACCACCCAGATTGCGTACGTTTTTTGCGGGAAGTAAAGACTAGAATTGAAACGCATGCACAACAACAAAGCTATGTCGTAGTAGCCAAACGGACGAATAGGATAAGCAATACAAATATAATGCCGTACATTTTTTAACCCTGCTCCTAGTCAAACCTCTGGGCGATTTAAAAACGACCTCACTGACGTGCTTTTTCCAGGCGTAGCACTAGTTATTTTCTCCAATCTAGATGAAGTTAGGCAATTCCGTCTCATTTTGCGTAGATTGCGACTTTTAAGTTAAACAAGCTAATTGGTAACACTTCCATCTTCATTCTCTAGCTCGTGATGCCGAGTCCTTGTCCAGAAATAGCACCTACCAGCACAGTGTCCTTGATCCCATGTAAGGACCGCTTGTCTACATTCCTAGATAGCAGATTGTAAAACAAAGCATTCGGTCTGTTTATATTAGATCGATGTGCCCGTACAGAAGTAAAACCGGGAGCATCACGCTTTACTCGTCTAGAAGAGCCTAGCCATATCCTTCTTGCTCGTCTGCTATCCGGAATGAATAACATAAGTCTACAAACGTAGTGTTGCCACCCGGGTCGGTCAAACGCAAGGCGTTCGTCTAGTGTAATAGCACTCAACTTTATGTATCGCAAAAATCTATCAATAGCTTTTACAACGTTGCATGTTTGTTTGACCAATTGAATGCATTTTTTTAAAATGAATATAAAACTATATAAATTTTGGAAGGGTGGTGGCTGATTGACGAAGAGGTGATGGCTACTTAAAGTTTTCCTATTTTTATCCAAGCAGACTACTACGTATTCCATATTTTAGTTTGGGAATTTTCAAGCTTGTAGGCTATCTATCCACTTGTCTTGTTAAGCGAGTTGCTCGTTTTTTAGAATCCCCTTCTATTCTTGTGAGCCCTTGACTACGAACAAGCAACTACTGGCTAGCATTAGCTCAGACTTCATGCATTTGGGAACTTACATGTGCTGACCTGGTCATAGCTTTTTTATGCAGCTGATACTGACCTTCTTTACCAGCAAAATTCGAGCTTCGCTACCCTAGTGAACAAGACTGTGTCCCACCACTGCACTTAAGGCTCGCATTCCGGAGTCGCTGTCCACGCCACCAAGTGTCTGACAAGAAGATGGCTCTTCTTGATGCCCATATTGCCTTGCTGGCTGAAGATAGTACAAGTCAAAACGTAAGCTCGTTTCACCACCAGCGTATACGTACTTCACGCTACACAATTTGGGACCCATCCGCTTTCGATTGTCATATTATAACTCAGTTTTTTGCGCACAGGACCAGCTTTTTCACTAATGTTAGGAACTGGATTGTTCTTGCACCATATCCGAAGCACGCGTGCAAGGCTTATCCGATTTTATATTCCATGTACGTATTTCGCTACGTCTGATTTGTAAGCTTACGAAAGCATGGAGGTCAGACGCACTAAATTTTCGGGCATGGTTCACGCACACACACACAATGTTTTAAGGATTGCAGCATGCTGAGCTTCATTGAATAGTGCCTGTTGTCCTGCAGCAAATCGAGCCATTATATACGACCTGTGCGACATCTTGTCCTTTGGCAAACGATTTAGAGATGGGAATCCCAAACGCCACGAGTTAAGGTCTGCGGTTTTGTTGCAATGGACCAGGTGACCTCAGCTGAAGCCCGTGGGTTGCGGTACAAATACCAGTTTCGCATCATTGGTCCTGGCTGAACTCGACTATTGCCGTCCTGCAAATCATTCCCTCTCAACCACAACCGAATCCGACAGATCGACGATGCGACTTGACCCCACCGTCCTTGTTTTAGGTGCATCCTTTCTGTCCTGCAACAAGAGTCTCGTAAGGGCATCCGCTTTCCCTGCGACGGATGCAAAAAAACTGGACCCGGACTTGACACACGACACCAATGACGTCGTCCCCGCTAAAAGCGAATTGAGGTCTTATGAGATGAAGCGCGAGGAAGAGCGAGAAATGTTCATGAAAATTGTGAAAGAACTCGCTGAGTCGGTTGCGACCTATTTCCACCCGTCAAGTGTTGAGGGCGGAACGAAATCGGTTTTGGAGCTCGAGCGCGAAGTGCTCTTAATGCCGCATCTATACAGACCGTACGCCACGGAGCTCGAGCCCCTACTGCAGCACTGGTATGATGTGGAAAAGAAATCCATCGACGAACTGGCGCAGCTCCTCGGACTAACAACAACCAAAAGCCTCAATCTCTGTTTTCTCAGGGCTAGCGACGCCAAAAAGATTGAGGTGCTACGTTTCTACATCGATCACGTTAACCAAAAGGAGAACACTCAGCACACGCTGATTAAGACGCTGACGAAGTACTACGGTGACTGGGCGTTATCAGCTGTCTTGATGGAATCGATTCGTCATCGTTCTGCTTTTGAGAGTATCGTTGCAATAGGCTTGCAGCGAGAGATGATTGCAGGCTGGATGGATAGGAAGTTGCCCGCCGAGGAGTTGTTTGACATGCTGAAGCTCAAAGATAAAGGGAAGGAGGCCTTGTATAGCACAGAGCTATTGACATTGGAGCGATACGTGGAAGCACAGCTCCATGGAAAACCTTTGCCGTCCCTGTATACGGATCTAGAAACTGTGCTGCCCCAGCACAGATTAGTGACGCTCGAGGATGGAACTCAGCTACCCCTCCACCAGTTTGAGCAGCGCCGCGATCGAGTTGTCGTCGGCATCTTGTCAAAGGGCTTTGGAGACGGCGAGTTTGCAATAATGTTGGGCAAAGCGCTTGCCCGCTACCCCTTTGATGTGAAGTCCAGAACGTACATGGACGCTGTGTTATGGCACTGGAAGGATGAAGGCAAAACAGACTTGGAGCACGTGTTCAACGCTGAGTTCTTCGAGAAGCATTCACTGCACGGTCAAGACACTGCAAGGGCCATTATGGATCGTTACCGCGCTTACGAAGTTCATGGGTGATCGAGTGGCGTATGGTAGATTTGTAACATGTAGAAGCGCCGCTATCGTCCGCCTCGAAACAAATCGTTTACATTTTAATAGGAACCTTTTGAGCTTGTTTTCTTTACCCTTCGCTTGAGCCCCAATACGCCACGAAAAATTTTTTGGTCGTAGAAAAGGCCACACCCTTCAAACCTTCGTGTCATCGAAATAGTATCAGCGCTCAAGCTGCTGCAGTTTTTCTTAGTTCACGTTTACTTTCATTACTCGCTTACTCGCTCAATGTTCAATGGGTCCTTAACGCATTACGTACTGGAGACATCTTCATACCGAATGTACCTACTTCCGGCTAATCACGCGTACCATCAGCGCCCTCCACTGCATCTCGCTGCAATCTACTAGCTTTGCTGAAGGGCTGTGTGTCACCGACACTAATTACTTCATTCACTGCGGGTGAGCGAATAATAACTACCATTCGACAGCAAACAAGTGTACACACCGTATGAATCACATGTGAGCTCGAACAGACACTGTGAATAACCTGAATTCTGTCTTGCTAATTGCACCACCGCCACTTATGCGTTCGCGCTAGGCGGCACTGTAATTCACGCTCAAGCACTGACAACTAGCTGGAAGTAGCTATCGTGTTGGTTTGCCCCGAGAAAAGTAGTCGACGGCAACGCAGCATCAAGGCAACCGCTCCAACGCAGCTACTAGCTTGTCGATTTGCACCACGATGTGGATGGAGAACTCTATATCTGGGCCTCAAGAGCCACAACCATAGCGTCAAAGATGGTCTGATCACAGTCGAGAGTTCACCAAATTGGTACAACTTTTCTACAAACCATCGAGCCGAGCGTAGCGGGGCTCGAAAAAAATAGTGCAATTACGTCATTCAGCGTACACGAGGACTTGACATTGGCGTCGTCCGTGGCACGTACAAGTAGCCTGGTTTGCTGAGCGAGCACCTGCGTACGCCATGAAGGACGTAGCCGATTCCGTGTCGTTTTTGCTCTGTACCACAATGTTTTGGTCAAACAGAAACGATGAGCGAACTTCTTACCATGTCCGAGAGATTGATTTGCTCGAGTTGCGACAACAGCAGCGAAATTGTGGTATCCGCGCGGTCTTCCGTAAACTGTACATTCCATCGAGGAGTCCACTTCCACTGCCTGACCACGAACGTTGCAGCACCAACGACATGCCATCATCGTCACGACAAAGTGGCGGTTGGAGTCGTAATACCAGGCTTTTGTTTCAGATTAATTCTCGGCAACGTTAAGTGGACGAGTGAGTACGCAAGAAAAATCATCATTGCCTAGGGAAAGTGCTCAAACAGCAACCCGATCCAGTATCTGCACCATGCCCTCATTCACGTTTAGCAATCCTCGCGCTTTATACCAGGGCGTGCGGCGTTCACCAGTCAAGGTGACCTCGTCAGCATTTTCAAGATCCTACTTGCTCTGTGTCCACGAGGCTTACCACGTTAGTGCTCGCTTCTAATGTGGTCAACGTCCTCGGCCGGTCCAAGTGTTCACACTATATTCAAGTGTTTAGTGCCGTCGCGGTGATTCAGCAGCAGCGACAAGGGCTGGCCAATGCCACTAGCATCATCCAGCACATCTTTTGTATTATAACTAGAGACAGCGATGAGTAGCGAGACGCAAACCACGAGTCACGGAGGACCGTGACGCCGTGCACCTGTGACGTGAGAGTCAAAACTTCAACAATGAGAGACAAAAGAGACTTCCAACTACTGCCTACAGACTTTCGATCTAGACTGTAGCTGAATGCAGTTTCGTACCCTCATGATACCGGATCCGTGTTAAGTAGCTACTGCACATCCGTTTACTACTACTGCCCATTTACTCGCTCTCTTGAAGCAATGACACCGACACCATCAGCTATCTTGCTGTCCAATTCTAAGCGCATGACGCGCGACCAACTTTGAGCACGTTGAGATGTCATTCTTCTGTGGTCCCGCGCAAGGTTTGTAGACAAGCAGAACCGGCTTCGTGGTGAGAAGCACAAAGCATTGCTCACTAAACTGTGGATCGAGGTGCCCGACAAGAAATGACGAATGATGAGCACCACAGCTTTAGTACCAGACCACGGGTTCTACGCAAAGGACTATTGCGAGAACGTGGAGTCTTTACGTTTGGCTGAGCCTTAACATGTATTGCTGGGTACTTAAACGGGTGCAGAAGCACTGGACGGACCACTTTGTGTTGACGCAAGTAATGGCTGCTTGGGTCAATGAAAACGATGTCGGATACGTCGTGACGGGCTATAACGGACCGCCCATACCGTTGTTTGGCTGAGCGTCGTAATCATTTTCGATGTTGTCATATTGTCCAGAGTTATTGCTGGCACTATATTGTTATTGTTATATTGATGTTTTTTTACCTCAAAATTAAAAATCAAAACTTGACTAAAAATTCAGATGTGTTTTGTATCGTGTCAGCAGTAGAGCGCAAGATGGCGGGTGTTGTGTTGGCAACAGCGGGCTACGACCACACCATACGCTTCTGGGAGGCAGCGTCTGGCACATGTAATCGCACAGTCAAGTATCCAGACTCGGTTGGCTCCTTGCAGTTGTGCTCGGCATTGCTTCGAGTGTCTCAGCTCTTTGACGTTATCCTCTCTGGTCCTCCATTGTCTTTTGTAACAAATATCCCTATTATCTATTCGTGTTCATACTGCTTGGCTCTATAGCAAGTGAATTGCTTGCAGATTACGCCGGATAAAAAGTACATTGCAGCAGCAGGGAATCCTCATATCCGTCTGTTTGAGATAAATAGTAACAATCCAAACCATGTGACGAGCTACGACGGCCACGCGAGCAATGTGACGTCGCTGGGCTTTCAGCGCAACGGAAAGTGGATGTACTCGTGCTCGGATGACGGCAGTGTGAAAATATGGGACCTACGAGCTCCTGGTTGCCAGCGGAGCTACAATGCAGGTGTGCCACTAAACGCAGTGGTGCTACATCCGAATCAGGCGGAGCTGCTGGTTGGAGATCAGAACGGATTCGTACGTGTATATGATCTCACAGCTAATACTTTGGTCACGAAGCTTGAGCCACCAACTGGAGATACAGGAGAGAGCAGTATTCGCTCAGTGGATATTGTGCGTGATGGTAGTGCATTAGTAGCAGCGAACAATCATGGCAAGTGTTTTTATTACCGCCCGAAACCGGAAAGCCATTATCACTTGCATGGGTCGCTTCAAGCTCATAATGGTTATATCTTGAAGACGAAAATTAGCTCCAATGGCAAGTTTCTAGCTACGTGCTCATCCGACAAAACGGCCAAGGTATGGAACCTTTCGGTGGCCATGGCTGCTTCGGCAAACGGTGAGACGCCTGAAGCCGAGATGCACGGCAATGGATCGATTAGTTCTCAGAAACAGACGAGTTCTTCCAGTGTGAGCTCTACGCTAGGTCCTACAACACCTCCTGTACCAAGCAGCAGTGGCCTTATCCATACACTGCAGGGTCATCAGCGGTGGGTGTGGGACTGTGCATTCTCGGCAGTGTCGTCATATTTAGTGACTTGCTCGTCGGACCAGAGCGCTCGGCTTTGGGACCTGAGTCAGGGTGAAGCCATTCGTCAGTACAGTGGCCACCACAAGGCCGTCATCTGCGTGGCTCTCAATGATGCCGTGGCAGATTGACACCACAGATGAAGTAAAATAAAGAGCACGCCATTGCTGTTGCAGGTTGGAACCCATTCATGCGGTGCCGCAGTTGGTCTACGTGAAAGTCTGCTTTGTCATTATTGTGTAAAACTCGTCAGCATCCACTTCCCCATCCTGGTTCATATCAGCCCGCTCCATCATCTCCAGCAACTCGGCGTCTGTCAAGGTCTCACCCAACTCATGTACCACACGTTTCAAATCACATAACGAGATCTTGCCCGTCTTGTCATCGTCAAAAAGACCAAACACTCGCTGAATCTCTTCTTGCTTCTCCACCCCATCGTTCTAGCAACGTAAAAAACACAAAAAACAACGAGCAGAAGAGGACAAACACACATCAGTCCCGCTCGCCCTATCCCCTTACGACACTACATCCTCAAGTAGCTTGCACGCCTGACCCCGATCTTAGCCCCAAGAATGTCCACAAACGACTCCATATCGACGAATCTCTTATCCTCGGTCTCGCTGCTGTTCTGATCCCTGTTTTCCATCCACTCGGGACTCAATTGGCCCATCGTCTTCAAACCCAGTGACTGCAGTACCGTCTGCAGTTCCTCAAAGTCCACGACTCCCCTACCATCAGCATCAAACAGAAGAAACGCCTCCCGCATCTCCGCAATTTCCTCCTCACTCATCACTTGTCCCGCATACGTCTGCACAGCGCGCGTCTGTGCCACGCGGCGAGCCATCTCTGCTGTCTCACCTTGTCCGGCGACTGCTCACCGGACTGACTGATCGACGTCCGTCGTTTTGATTGGCGGAAAAGGCAGCGACGTTTGTAAGTGGCTGAAATCCCACCGCCTGCTGGACCGTCGAGCGTAACGATTTTCGACGAATCAGCGCCGCGATCGCACCACAAACGTACTGCATTTTCTATCTTCTCCGCATTTAAGCGCATGGCGGCGACTCCGACTCCGACGACGCGGCGCGCGGCGCCTGCGGGCCGCACCACGGGCTTTGCCAGCGCTCGCATGCTCGAGGCACAGCGCACGTTCCAGAACGTGGTGAAGCACGAGCTGCAACTGCTGCTGGCGAGCGGCACGAAGCGCGAAGACGCCGTGAAGCTGCTGCTCGGTCGGATCGTAGCCAGCACGGAGCCGCCCGAGGCGTTGGCTGTGCGCGGCGTGATGCGGCAGTTCCAGATGAATTATGACGACGCGGTGCGTGCGTTGATTGTGAAGCAGGAGCTCGGGCGACTGAAGCGGCAGGGACTGGACTCGTTCGCGGCGATTGAGGAACTGACGCGGAAAATGAAGAGCCGAGGAGACGAGAGGCAGCGAGAGGAGGAGAAGAAGGAGGAGGTGGAGCTGGAGGTAGAGCTGGAGCTGGAAGGGAAGGGGGGGGAGGAGGAGGAGGACAAGTGAGGGGAGGAGAGGGGTCCTTCTGGTGAAGACAACGTTGAAGAAAGAGATGGTGACACTGGTGGTGTGCAGCAAGATAAGGCACTGGGTGCAACAGTTTTGGGAGAAGAAATGGGTTCGGTGACGTCGGACAAGGAGGCAAGTGAGACGACGTCGTTGTCGTTGTGCCAGCGGATTGGAAAGGTTTCGATCTCGTCGGTGACCGTGACAGAACAAGAATCTGACGACGGTTTGAGAGGAGAAGATAGCGCTAACAATGGAGAAAATGAGGCGGCTGGAGAGCGTGGCACGATGGGGTTTCGATCACCGTCCAGGGCTGATAGCTCTTCGAATGGTAACCTCGTGGAACTTACACCACAGTCGCGTAAACGCCGTGCGGCTTTTGGAGAGCAGGTGGATACTGTCACGCGTAGTCGTAGTAGCAGCAGCGAACGCGCTGTGAAGCCTATGTTTTCGGGTATGAAGAAGCAAAAGTTGTGTGCTGACGTTGGGGACGGTTTTCTTCAAATTGTCACACGAAAGTCGAAGCCAATGTCGTCAAGCCCACCGAAGGGTACAGCTGCAAAAAGCACTTCTGGGATGGCGCCTGGTGGGGGGAAAGGTGGCGGATCGACACGAAGTGAGCGCAACACGAAGAACTCGCTCAAGCGGCAGCGTGCAAGTCCGACGGGTATGGCAGATAACGATGAGTCTCCCATTGCAGCCGAACCTCGTTCGTCCCACGTGCACCATCGACATCACGCCCACCATCACCATAGCAAGCGCCAGAAGAGCGGCAGCCCCCACTGAACACGCGTTACTTTTCGCGTGACAACGATCAAGCGAAATGCAAGCCTAATTATTTCAACCTTTTCTCAACGAAGATGTAGACAAGCAAGGAAATGAGAGTGGAGAAGAATGGAGATACTCGACACGACGACATCGTCGTGAAGGACGAAAGCGGTAGCTACACAAGAGACAGTGTTTTATTGTAAATACATTACACATCTAATTCTGAAAATGGCGCGTGGTGCTCGGGCGTAGATCAATGCCGCGCTTACGTAGCTCTTGCATTAACTTGATGAACTCAGCCACAGAGACCTTCACTGCTCGGTTCGACGCAAGTCCACTAGCTTCCAGAGCGGCCTCTACAAGCTCCGTGACTATCCGGTGTTGGTCCTCTCCTTCATCTTCGTTTACCACGTACTGTAATCTTGCAGTCTTTGCCAGCAACAACGCTCTCAGAGTCTTGTTCTTACGCTCAAAACAGAGTCTCAGTAGCTTGTCGAACTTTTGGAAAAACCACTCGTCATGCGCAGGAAGCACGGGCATCACAGCTGCACGTGGCACGAGTTTGATCACGCGCGAATCCACTTTGGGCGGAGGCAAAAACAGCTTCCTTGACACTTTTGCCACTGACGTGACGTCCGCTACTAACGCCGTGCTGGCACTCAAGCGACTGTAGTTCTTGTGCCCCGGCTGCGCCAACAACCTCGATGCAAATTCCTCCTGAACCATCAATACGGCACACTTGAAACTCGTAGGAAAGCGATGCATGTAACTCGAAAGTCTAGACACCACTAGTGACGACAAATGGTACGGGATGTTGGCTGCACAGACATCAAAGAGTTTGTCCCGATTTGTTCCCGATTGGGCTTGAAACTGAAAATCTTCGAAGTCCATATGCTCGACCACGAGGCGACTCGACTCGAGTTCCGTGGGAAACCGAAGCTGCAGTTGCTCTACCATACGATGGTCAAACTCGACAGCATGGACATGTACATCGGGACTGATGTGCAGTAATGCTGATGTTAAGTTGCCCGTTCCTGGACCAATCTCCAGCACACGGATCGGGTTCGAAGAAGTGTCTGCTACAAGTCCCGTAGCTGCTACAATTTGACGCAAAATTCCATCGGAAACAAGCAGATGCTGACCCAATTTGCGCTTGAGGTGCGGAGTGCCTCGCAACCGAGAGACGTTGCTTGTCGAGAACCAGCGAGGACGGAGAGAGCTCACCAAGTGCGACAGCATTGGTCAAACGATTGCGACGAAAAATAACACAACCAGCGAGTGGTTGCGCATCCTTCTGTGGTCTCATTGGTCAGCGTATTGTGATAATTGGACGAGTTCGGTCTTACGGTGGTCAGTGTATTGTGATAATTGGACGAGTTCGGTCTTCCGGCGGTCCGTTATAAAGGGATGTGAAGCGCTGAATTCGGTTTAAACGGACGGCTTTTATTGCTTAAAGTTGATTGACAAACCAGTTCTAAAATGTGCTCAAATGTCGTTGAGCTCAGGATACTCTCACTGAACTATCCTGATCACAGTCAAGACCACTGATGAAATTATTACTTAGCTTTTGGCTGTTCGTAAGCACAAGCTATGAGACTTAGGGGCCACACTTCATTCCAACACACACAATTATTACGTTTCTCAGAAAAATATATAGCATAAGCATCGGTCCGCTCGTTGATGTCGTCAGCGAGGAGACAACTATTCGATTCGAACTATCATCCTGATTAGCGTCTGAGGCTGCACAACCCATTCAAATGGTCGTACACGAGCTATTACTAAGATAAGAAGCACTTCGATGGAAATGCTTATCCCAAACGAACGACCTCAGATAGCGTTCATCTCCGTCCCCTGTTTCGTGATGAAAGAGGATGAGAAGACAAGTCCTGCAACGAGAATTACGTAAGCTATGCGAGCAAACCGGTGCCAGTACCTTTGTATACCTTTGCATATTGAGATATGTACATACATATACGTATTCATTGCGGTCGGCGTCGAGGTATCCTCAAGCATCCGAAATGCTTGGGTTATTGCTGTCCGCTGTTACTCTATTCTCAACGCTGTCACTCGATTCATAAGTCCGTGCTTGTAACACCGAGACTGTAGCTGCTTCTTCTTCTGGTAAGCACAATGCAAACTCTTCGACTGCGAGTTCGAGCAGCTTTGAAGCACGCGTCTGTGTGTTCATTCACTTTGCAGCGTTTCTATGGCTACAGAAGTTTTGATGTTGGCGTAGAGCACGCTCCTCGTCGAACTCACGACCGCAGTTGGAGCATTGGCGCTTAACGGCTGCACGTGGCTGGAGTTTCTGCCAGTGAGCATCAAAGTCTTCGACCGTGGCGAAGGAGAACGCACAAATCGCACACGCCTTCGGCTTCGCAATTACTGCCACTGATGTCGTTGGACTCGTGACTCCATTCGTACCAGAAGACAAAACTGTCATCGACTCACTTGCCGCAATGGTGGCTTCATGCTGCTGTATTCTGAACCAGTCTGGTTTAATGAGGGGGTCTTTGCCGTGTTTGGCTAGTTGATGCTGTCTCCTCGCGTCCTCTGTGTTAAACGTGCGACTGCAAAACTTGCAATGAAGTCGAACCTTTTCCTGCTGTACACCACCAGCTTCGAGTTCATGCATCATGTGTACGTGCGTCCTCAAACCCTGCGCCGACTTGAAACTCCGGTCGCATTGCGTACATGCAAACTCGAAACTCTGCTCTCTCTCAGCCTTCCGCTTTCGAGACACAGTCATCACCTCATCACCGCCGACTACCGGCGCATCTGTCGTTTTTGCAGTATCAACAGGGGCAGCCTCCACCGGACTCGTCTGTCGTCGGAATATAAACAGTGTGCTGCTCTGCGTTTTCTTCTCACCATACAGTGTAACCTGATGAAATGACTTGCCGTTCTGATGTCGTTTGCGCTCATACACAACCCCAAACGTCTCGTCATTGTCCACATCGTCCACTTTCCGGTACAGCTTCAGTCCGCCACTCAGAGCACGTGGCACCGCTTGCCATCGTTCTGGCTGCCCTTCCGCAAGCGTCAGTTGAATGCCACTAGCATCGTCCTCGTCCTTTTCCTCCAACACATTTAACGCCGAAGCATAAAAGTGCGATAACAAACTCTGATGTCGTCGAACATTCTCCTCTCCACAGTGTGGATGGTTAAATATCACCGAGTGGAATCGAAGCTTCTGCTTTGCGCCAGCTGCCACGAGGGACTCGCGAAGGTTCGTCGCATCCACGCGATGCAGCACCGTAACATCTAACTCTCTCAATTGAGCACAAATGCGTTTGCTTTCTGGATACTTTGCAATCAACTCTTCGTAGCTGTCGTAAGACGTGGCAGTCAAGTGAATTGGTTGGTCGTCAGTCACCCGACTGTGGTGCTGTTTGATCAATGACAATGAGTAGGAAAAATTTCCATCACCGACCACGAGTATTCGACGTTGTCGAGATTTTATCGATGACTGACTTGAGGATACACAAGACTTGTTCGCTACCGGCTCGTTACCAGTAGATGGAATTGTCGTCGCCTCGGTTTGTGTCAATGGCATGAAGAAGCGGTGGAGGCGCGGGCACGTTCCTTTTGTCCAGCCAAAAGCGTCCGCCCTCGATAAATTACGACAGCGAGACACAGGATAGCGTCAAGCGATGCATATTATAATAAAGTGCTTTTTAGCATCCTGTATTTGAAAAGTCGGATCCAAGTGGGCTCGAGGCTCACACGAGATTCCCGATGCTCTGCGTATTTTGGACACTGCAGTATTTATCTAAAATTGAGTGACCGCTTAGGCTCGAAGGGATGCGTCTCTGAATATGACGCATGCTAAAGTAATAAAGTTTTGAGGGAAGTATTACCACCAAGTATGCACCTCACAACGGTGGGACAGTTACTTGGACCTCTTGATCACAGTCATGTCGATAATTCCTTGCTAAGCGCTAAGAGCTTGACTGCATTGCAAAAACAGATGCATGACTCAGTAAATAGTGTAGAATGGCTCTTTTGCCCGCTTGACAGTGGCCTTGCAAAATCGCTCGCTTCTTGATACATCGACAACTCAAACCTTGTCTTGTTACTAATGGCAGTTGCCCAGCCGACTACAGGACCGTAAGCTATTCACGAGCTAGCGCTTGTTACAATCTCACAATGCTTTCTCGACGAGTTGAGGCTCGTGTATCGTGAAGATGTCTCGACGCACGTACCATTCTATCAGATAGTGTATGAGCGTATCCAAAGATGCAGTGTAGAAAAGTTGTAGGTGACATTGAACAGCTCTAGTGCACTGTTAGGATGTGAGTGATGCCGGTGCTCATCCGCCATCTCAAGGCTTGGCTAAGTTAGCTGTTGCGTAACTCAATGACAGAGATTGTACAGAGAACACTTCGAAAAATGTGGGAGGACGCAATCACAAAGGGGATCAAAAACATCGAGCGCAGTATAATCGTGTTCATAATGTGGTACCAATGGGTCACCCAACGACATCCACCTCATTCAGTAATACGCTGATTTGTATCTGCTTGCTGTGGGGTATCAGGCCCTTCAAGCGCATCCACCGGACAACTACGGTCCCATTGTACGTGTCTGTCAAAGACTACTCGCTTTGTGTGATCTGACGGCGTTTACTAAATACACGCATGTCTCTCACGTAAATCACAAAGTCAGCCATGTGCACATTTCTGCAAGCTTAGCATCCGTACGGTCGTATTCGAGATTGCATCGCTGCCACAAATGAAGCAGCGTAAACGCTCGCATAAAGAAAGAAAGGAGCAGCGCTTTTGTAGATGTTAGAGCAATTGAATGTGAGCAAAACTTAGAGAGAACTTGCGATCGGCACTTCGAGCATCTGCAACGAGCTTTCCCAGCTACTTTGGCAACTACCGGATAAGTGTGTAAGTGTAAAGAATAAAAGAGCACACAGAACGTGCTTGATTATTTATTGTTCGGTGAAAATCGATAGAAATGGGCGCTGCAATTTGCAATGATGAGAAGACAGCTTTCCATCACGTCTGACACCA